ATTTCTCTTTCTATACTCCTTTTAAAATTTAAAATTAAAATTTTTAACATAAAAATTCATATTTTTAATTTTTGAGATATCTCGTAAAAAGCTTTGAATATAATCTATTGTTTGAATATAACTAATTCTTTTGTAAAGTAATTATTACTTTGTCGAGGTAGGTTTTCTTCTCAGTTTTATTTTTTATTTTTTTTGCAGGAAATACATTATGGGTTTTATGGAATTGAAGAAAATGATTGGAGCAGTGACTTATATTGAGTGCAGTTCCAAAACTCAACAGGTAATTAGAAATCATCACATTTCCATAAAGAGTTAATAAGCCTAATATAGAAAGTGTTTTGGATTAATTTTTCTTTGTTCTGTTTTCCCTTAAAATGTGAAGGCTAGAGGTGGGTAAATTTCGGTCAGCTGATCAGAAATTGTAAAATCGTTTAAAATTGGGCGAGTTTTTCACCGATTTGTCGGGTTCGGGCACGAAAAGAACAATTCAAACTTAAACCAAATGTCTAGTCAGTGGGCTTCGATTGTAAGGCCCAAGTTCCAAAAACCGAAGGACTAGACCCAGTAAAACCAAAGCCCAAACCTTAATTTTTTTAGTTTTGATTTTTTTAAAAAAAATTTATTATTTTATAAACTACATTATTTCATACCATAAAATACTTTTTATTTAGTAAAAAGTAACCTCGATTAGTTTGAATTCCCACTGGCAAAAGCGTCATCATCTTACGTCCAATTCTTTCTTTCTCTTTCTCAGATTTTCTTTCACTTTCCTTCTAGAGAGAGAAACTGGAAAAAGCAGTAGATGTCAAAAATGCAACAGTCCACCTCTTAGATTTGTGGGCTCCATTCATTCTTCTCCGCAAGATTTCGTCGTCCCACATCTGCCTTTTGCCCCTGGCTCAGCTCCGGCTTAAACTCCAAACTCATTTGGCTCAGTTTTATAATTACCTAACCAACCTGTGGTTCGCTGATCTTTTCTCATTCGGAATGTATTTCTTCACGGCAGAATGCGCAAATTTACGCTCAAAGTACAGTGGTAGGATAGATCCATCATTTAATAAAAAATAAAAATAAATTCAATAATAAATTTTTTAATTTAAATAAATAATTTTAAATTTAACGTATTACATCATTTAATGTCAATAATTTATTAACAATGAACTTAATAATAACATAATAAATTAACATATTGTTGATGTTAGATGATGTTATAAATTAAATTTAAAGTGATTTATTTAAATTAAAATTTTTGTAGGTGAATTTATTCCTATTCCAGGTAAATTTATCTCTATTATTATACTTTTGAGAGTAAATTTATATATTTTACCTTTCTTCACTTGACTCCCTAAGTATTTTCAACATTTGGGTCCTGTTTGGTTGCCTCAACTCTGAAAAAGGAAAACGGAGTAGCCATGAGCCGACTTAAGGTGGTATGGTTCAGGAAATACAAAACTAAGCACACATTTTTAGGATCGAATTGTTTTTCCCCTCATTTATATGTACTTTTAACAAAATAAACTTTCTTTTAACAAAGAGT